GTTAGGGTTATCTTAGGGTTATGGTTAGGTTAGGGTCTGTGTTGTATTTAGGTTTAGGTTAAGGGTTAGGTTTAGTTTAATGTTTAGGTTATTGTTTAGGGTTAGGTTTACATTTAAGGTTAGGTTTAGGTTTTAGTCTTAGGGTTTTGGTTTAGCGTTAGGGTTAGTGTTAGGTTTAGAATTAAGTTAGTGATTGAGGTCTTTTATTTTGGAGTTTGTTTGGGTTTAAGCTTAGTGTTAAGTTTGATGATAGGAATAGGGTTAGTTTTGAAGTTATGTAAACAATTAGGGTTAAGTTTAGGTTCATGTTTGAGTTAGGTTTAGGATTATGGTTATGTTTCAGTTAGGTTTAGGGTTTGATTAGTTTAAGGTTTATAGTAAGGGTTAGTTTTGTTAAGACTATGCTTAGGACTAGATTAAGGGGTAAAAATAGGTATATGGTTTGTTTTAAGGTGTGTGTTAGATTTAGTGTTACAGTTTGAGGTGAGTGTTAGGGTTATGGTTAGTATCTTAAGCTGAGTTCTCTAGAGAGGCAAGACCAGTGAAGCAAAATGATAGACCGAAATACTTATCCCAAGGAAATGGCTCACGTGGTTGTAGAGCTTGGCAAACCCCAAGTCTTTGGGTCAGGCATCAGGAGACTTCTCTGGACTCATGTAGCAACAGGGGCTGATGGACTCATGGGCTGTGGGGCTGATGAATCCAGTATTAGCATGTAAGTGGCAGGCTGCTGGCTCACAGGCTGTGGAGGATGACCAATCCCAAGATTGGAAGACAATACAGGAGGCAACTCACATGTGTTTTCTGGTTGTTATTCTGATCTTCAGTGCTATGAAATTCATGGATTTCTCCTACTATTGAGGACCAGGTGTCATTTCTCATGAATTGTACTATTATATTTTCACTTGATAGCTTTTCTCCATCATTAAGATTTTGAGAAACTATTGAGGCCAGGTTGCTGAAGGTTTCCATCATCACATCTCTGTAGAGTTTCCTCTGAGAAAGATCCAGGAATGCCCACTCCTCCTGGATAAAGTCCACAGCCACATCCTCAACAGCCACTGAGTCCATTTCCTTGCTCCAGCTTCTGGAAGTCTAAGTGAATGTGCTCTCTAAGCCCAAGAAGCCACTTCAGGAAGAGGGATGGCAGTGGAAACAGCACCACTAGGCGATCTGGAGGCAGATGAATGATGTTTGGTCCACACAGGCAGGCACAGCAGTTAAAATCCTTACTTCTGATTGCATGGATGTGCAAGAAGGTTACCCTTGGTCCCCAGCTGCCTAGGCTGGACTAACTCTCTCTGCATCACACCTGGGACCCTCATGAGACTGTCTCTGTGAGCGAGCCTCTCTGTGTCAATATTTGTCTCTTTTGATTGATTCATTTCACTCAGCATAATGCCTTCAAGATCCATCCATATTGTTGCATGTGTCAAGACTTCTACTGGCTGAGCAGTAGTCCACTGTATGTATGTACCACATTTTGTTTATCCATTCATCTGTTGATGGGAATTTAGGTTTTCCATCTTTTGGCTATTGTGAATAATGTTGCAATGAATATTGGTGTAGAAGTCTCTTTTTGAGTCTCTGCTTTCAAGTCTTTGGATATGTACCAAGGATTGGAATTGTTGGGTCATATGGTAGTTCTATTATTAGTTTTTTGAAGAAACACCACACTGTTTTCCACAATGCTGTAGCATTTTGCATTTACACCAGCAATGAATAAGGGTTCCAATTTCCCCACATGCTGGCCAACATTTATTATTTTCTTTTTCTTTTTTTAAAATTTTATCCATCCTAGTGGGAGTGAAATGATACTTCACTGAGGTTTTGATTTGCATCTGTCTGATGCCTAATAACACCAAGCATCTTTTCATGTGTTTGGTGGCCATTTGAATGTTCTCTTTGGTGAAATATCTATTCAAGTTCTTTGCCCATTTTATGATTCAGTTATTTTGTCTTTTCGTTGTTAAGTTATTGAAGTTTTATATATATTTTGATTTTTAAATTCTTATCAGATATATGATTTCCAAAAGTAGTCTCCCAGTCAGTAGCTTGTCTTTTCTCTTTTTTGGTAAATTCTTCGGAAATCCAATTTTCTTAACACCATTTATTGAAGAGACTCTTCTTTCTTTGTGGAATGGGCTTAGCATCCTTTTCAAAAACCAGTTGACCATAGATATGTGGATTTATTTCTGGACTCTCAATTCTGTTCCATGGTCTATGTGTCTATTGTTATACCAGTAGAGGGCTGTTTTGATTAATGTAGCTGTATAGTATGTTTTAAGATCAGGAAGTGTGAGTCCTTCCTTGTTCTTCTCTTTCAACATTCCTTTAGCTATTCGGGGCATCTTGACATTCCATATAAAGTTGTGGATTACTTTTTCTATTTCTGTAAAGAAAGCTGTTGTAATTTTGATTAAGATTGCATAGATCACTTTAGGTAATAGTGACATCTTAACAATGTTAAATCTTCCTGGTGTTGGGAAAATTGGCTTTTCACATGCAGAAAAATGAAACAGGACTCTTGCCTCACATTATACACAAAAACAAATGATGGATTAAGGACCTACATGTGCACACTAAAACCATAAAATTCTTGGAAGAAATAGCAAGGGCAAGACTGTCAGGCCTAGCTTGTCACAATGGATTATCTAATTTAATAACAAAAGCACAAACAGCAAATAAATAAATAAATAAATGGAACCTCATAAAAATTAAAAACTTCTGTAAATTTGAATTTTTTAGAAAAAATATAGAAACAAATACAATTAAGAAAACTAATAGGTGAGCAATTCACAGACTATATTGGTCAACCAAATTCTCTTCTGTCTGTTCCTCTTTTCTATTCTTAAACTGACCCTGGTCGCAAATTTCTCTCTTACTTTCTTCTACTGCCTCCAACACTGATGCAGAGACAAGAGGAATGGGCTGGGGAGAGATGCAAATTTATAGAATCTCTGAGTTATCTATTTCTAGTTTGATCATCCCCACTAACTCAAACACTGGTTATACAAAAATACAATGGAATTTGTATTTTGGGTTCAGATTCAATTCAATGAACATTTACTGCCTAGATGTCAAGCCTTGTGCTGGACATTTTTAAATGTATTATCAAATCCAATCTTCACAAAATACATGTACGATATGTATCATTATCACTCCTTTTGGGTGAGAATATGGAAATTCATAGAAGTTAAGTTGCATGTTTGCTAAAGGTCATATAACTCTTGAGGAAATTAGGAATCGTGCCTGCTTTCGCTGACTTCAAGAGGCCTACCATTTAGTTAAAACTTCCTACGCTCAGGGTTGGAATTCAGGTGAGCCTAAGTTTGAATCACTCTCCTCCTCTTAACAGAATCATGAAATTGAAAAGGTTGCTTGTTCAATCTGGGCCTCATCTTAATTATATATAATAAAAATATAACATGCTTTGCAATATTATAAAAATTAGAAATATCATATAATAAATGCTTAGTCATAGTTGCCTAAGAAATGAAAATTATTACTTTAGATTCTTGAGAACTTGTCTCAATGATTTTCAAAGTTATTTTATTATGCAAGAGTATTTTTTTTTTAATTCCAGGAATCCATATTTTCTGATTCCAAGTATGATGGAATGGGCTATTAATATTCTTTTCAGTTGCTCTCTTTCATTAGTTTACTTTTTAAATCAGTCATCTAATTCTCAAAGTATTTTCCTGACAAACACTTGGTTTCTTTGTAAACTTTAATTTCTGAGAAAGCTTTAAAATGGTGAAATTTCATCATTTCTTAAAAAACAGGCAAACAAAACTGATTTAAAGCCTCTGCCACTTTCTTAAGAATCATTCAATCAATGGATAATTATTTATTGGACAAATACTACAGGACAGACCAGTACTGTTCAAAAATAAAATATGATCTCTTAAACCCATGAGAAATGAATAACCTGAGAAATGTAATTTAAAGATCCACAAAATATCAGACATAGAAAGACACCTAGCAGATTTAGTAACCAGCATTATTTGGATTAATTATTATATTTAGTTAATGACAAGACTAGTGATTTTTAGGATGTTTTACAGAGTTTGGAGTGTAAACCACTCCTTCTAAGTTTGGCGGCCACATTAGAAATAGAGCTGGATTTAAAGGTAAGTCTTCAAAGCTCACAGTGAGAGTTAAGCCTCTTAGTACGTAAAGTATGTTTTGTAAACCAGAAGAATCAGTATTGCCTGGGATGTTGTTAGAAACGAAGTTAGACCTCATCCTATATCTATAGAACCAGAATCCCAATTTAACTATATTCCCAGGTAATTCATATGAACATCCATGCTCAAGAAGTGCAGATCTAGTCTACCTGTCATTTGTTTACTGGGTACTAATGTTTACAGACATAGCAATGAAATTCGAGTGTCACCAAAAGATGTAGAGATGTTCTGTTTGCTCCATGCAAAAACGCAGATATTTGGTTGGCTTAAAAACATTCCAAACATGACCCTAACAAACACTCATCTGAGTAAGACCAAATGCATCCTCTACATAGGGCAGGTTTGGCTCAATTCTAATTATCTGCTATGAACAATGGCCTTTAATTGGTCTTATTTTGAAAATGAACAGGCCAAGTATTTCATTTACAAGAATTGCTGATTGATTAAGCAAGGAGACACTCCAGGCAGTGTATTTCTGGATGCAGGATAAGATGGAACGAAGGATGTGTCAAAGGTTTAGTAATTTGTCCATCATCTTATGCAAGTGCAATTATTCCCTTGAAATGTGCTGGCTTAAGGGGTCTCATTATGCTCAAACTAGAGGAAATATCAGCACATTTAGGGGAGCCATTGCAGCCCTGATCATTTTCAGAGTATTAGACGTGTTTGTTTAAATTCCAATTAGAAAGTTTCACTTTGCCCAGCATTTTTTTTTGTAATTTACATTAGAGCAATGTTTGAATAACAAAAAGGTTTAAAAAAATTAAAGCAACTAAGAAAATGAAACAAAACAAAACAAAACCGCCTTACTTTCCAAGGGCAAAGCATTCCAGTTTTACAGATGAATCCTTTGCAGCTTGTATTGATTCAGGAAAACGCACTTCAATCTTTGGTTCATACTCCCCCATCACACCTGTTAAATATCAAAAGAGCTAGCGGCATTTCTGGAGAACAGACGTTTTCTATGAAGTAAATGCTGCGTTAATGAAAACCTGATCATTCCGTCTTTCAGTTAACAGTATTTTTCTATACTTTAATGGGAGACAGAGGACAAGGAAACTTCATGATGCTATTGAAGGAATTAATTCATCCTCCTCCCCCCTAAAACAGAAAAAATGTGTATATATATATATATATAAGATGTATCATAAGATCAGAGTAGAGACATACCAAATTTCCTTATCTTCCACGTCATATCAGCATCTTAATAAGAATTAGTGTTTTCAGTTAAGAACTAGATTCTAAAATGCTTCTGAGTTTAAAAAAAAAAAAAGGTTCATTCTCTAGTGATATCCAGATCCCTCACCCCTTCATGAAACTCATGGGGCCATATGTGTTTAAGAATAAGGAAGCTTTCAGATAATTCTGTAAAAGGACTGATGTGGCACCTCTAACTCCAAAATATCAGTATTTCTGCAACAAAATATATCCAGTAATCACACTAATGGGGTAGATAAAGACACATACATTCTCATGTCACCTCAGTAAGGTTTTGCTGTTAAATTAGTTACACTTACGCAAAGCTTTTGGGTTTTCAGAGGATTTTTTAAAATTTCTAATAAGGAATTGTGTGTATGGATTAAGGTAAGACTAAGACAGATGTCTAATGCATTTTAGACACTATATCTACCAGAGGAGTTATAACAAACAGCAATATATTGCTAGGTTATACTCATGAACCTAATTAATTTAATCAAGGACAAGTCAAGATTTCTTAAAAAGTTAGATAAAACTTCTTATTTATGTACTGAACACCAGAGTAATACATTCCCAAGTAGATAGTTGATCAGTGACCAATACCATTTCAGAAAATGTGAAATTTATAAAATATATGTAAAATAAAAATACCTCATTTTATGACCTTGATCATTTCAAAATATTTGAAGATGGTATGGTTGAAGAGGTAGAGTACTACTTCATTTAACTGAAATGGTAATTTTTAAATTTTTTTCTATTTGTTTAACACCTGTGCTTTCTTAGGTGCCAACTTACAGAAGAGGCTTGATTTTGCATATTATGTATAATATTTCTGGTCTATTTTTTTTACAATAAATACGTTCAAGGAAATGGAGGAAGTGGAAGAACTAAGGAATTTAGAAGGGAAGAGTCTGAAACTAAGAATAGACAGAAAAAAAATAGAAAAAATGTGGCAGAATCTCTAGGTATATTGTTAGCTTAGAAGCTCTTGCAGTCATCAACGGAGTTTTTAGAGTACTCACTAAAAGAGGTAAATTGGACTTATGAATAATAATTCTGAATTAACACCATTTGGGTGGTTAATGGTTATAAAAGTTCTGTCATAAGAGCTCCTTGTATAAAGCTGGTTCCAAAATTCTGCTATCCGTGATTAGCATTATATTCTTGCTCTCCTTAAACTCCTCTGGGGTGGTCGGGAGGAGAAAAAACTGTGAGGTATTGCATTTCAAGTACAGAATTTGATCATAAAATGTACCAACAGATTTTCTATCTTTACTTTTCCCACTGTGAACATTTAATTAAAGAATCAACTACAGGATGTTTCCGCTTCAATGACTTGCTTAGACCTTCTAGCTCTCTAAATCTTGTACTAGCTATAACTTGACTCAACTACAAACCTCATCAGAGACCAATCTGAATTATGTTCCTTGGATGAATATAATTACTATGAAAATCTTGTTTCGTTTTTCTTTAGAATGCTCATAATTATTGTTGGTTTGCTTTGCTTTCCTTGGATATGAACTTTTTTCCCCATTTTGCTGGCCATGTAAATAAAGGATAAGCAAAAAAGGCAAATATGGAAAAGAAAGGGGCATTTTAAAAAGCTGCACTATATGTTCATTAGAAATATATTAGTTAAATTATATAAACTTGGCAGCACACACACGTGCACACACACACATATCAACTCCCCCAAACAGTATCTTTTTTTTTTTTCAAAATAGTCCTTAAGCAAATAAAAGATAACTGATTCCAGTGCCAAAGGAGAGAAGGCACAGTATGCACGGAACCACGTATGCTGTATCATGTGGGTGAGTTATAGAAATTCAGTTGTATTTTTTATAATACCCAATTCATATTTGTAAACTGAACCTAAACTCATAGATGTTATGGCTACACTGAACAACAGTGAAGCAGAAAACTCTGCAGATCTCACCAGGCTTCAAGAGCCACGGACAAAGCATATTCCCAAGATAACTCATCATCTTACCATCAGTGCGCTGCACTAATGGAGTGGGTGGTCCTTGCACACTTCTCTGGGCTTCCTTGTTTGTTATGAAGCAAGTGTAGTTGCCCACGTCTGATGGTTCCACTTTGGCAATGTACAAGTTTCCTGTCTCCTGAGATACAAACCGTCTGTTGTCCTCCTGGACATATAAGGGGTTATCATTGAAGGTCCATGCATAAGATAAAGCTGGGAAACAGAAAAAAAAAAATATTATCCTTACTGTATTCATTCTTATTTTAAAGTTTTGTGGCCTACTTCTCTCATTAGACTAACCACGTCCCCGTTTGCCGAGTTTATACCTGTTGTCTTGATATAATGATTAATGTCCTTGGGTGGCACAAATGGTTTGTTCTTGATGACTAACCTAAAGGTTGGTAGTTTGAACCCCCTCAGTGGTACTGTGGAATAAAGGCCTGGCAATCTGCTTCAGTAAAGATTACAGTCAAGAAAACTCTATAGAACAGTTCCACTCTGTAACACATGGTGTCACCCTAAGTCAGAATCAACTTGATAGCAGCAAGTTTGTGTGTGTGTGTGTGTGTTTAATACTCAGATATATCCCAGTTGGGATGATGAATTATATGGCCACTTTGCTCATCATTGGTTTTTGGAATTTAAGGTTGAGCCTGGGAATGATGATAGGATGTCAAGGGAATACATTGAGGAACTAATTATAAAAAAGCAACAATACATATAAAAACCTCAGGATGCACACTAAGCTTCTTCAGTAATACTCACTTAGGAGCAGTGTTTCTCAATGAATAGTCAGAAGAGCACCTGCATTAAATATGCTTAGGGGTACTTGTTAAAAATTTAACTGAACATGTTAACTTAAAAAATTCAAGTTCAAGGGATGTACCAAAGATCTAGGGATTCATTTATTCAATCATTACATAATTTCTGATCAACTACTCTGTGACAGTTTTAGGACTTAGAGTACAACAAAGTAAAGCTGTGCCCCCAGAAAGCTCACACCAGTTACCACTAGTTACGGCTAATGTAGGTAATATTAATGTGGGATGACATGTATTTTGAGGCGTCATACGGAGTCCAGAGAAAGGGCCTAGAAGAACTAATGTCCATGCTGAAACCAGCAGGAAGAATGGGTGCCATCCAAGCAGTAGATGAGTAGATAGACATTGATCAGAGAGCACACAGCATGAGCAGAAGTTTGAAGATGGAAGATCACTTTTGCTGAACATCAAGCAGTCCATCCCTGAAAATCTTATATGTGAATATGAGTACATATATATAATCAACATACTATAAAATTCACAGATGTTAAGTGTTGAGTTCAATTGATTGTAACAACTACATACCTTATGTAAACACCGCCCCAAAATAAAATACGGAACATTTCCATCTCAGAAAGTTTTCTCACACCCCTTTCTGGTCAGTTCCATCACTGCAACCACTACCTGATTTCTGTCACCATAGATTAGTTCTGTTCATATTTGGATTTCATAAAAATGGAATTGAACACCATATACTATGTTGTGTCTGATTTATTTCATTTAACATAATATTTTTAGTATTCATCTATGTTTTTGTGACTGACAGTCCTTCTTTCCATTTAATTGCTGAGTACCATTCCATGTTATGAACATACCGAAATTTGTTTAACCATTTTCCTGTTGATGAACATTTGGATAGTTTCCAGTTTTGGGTCATTATGTGCTGGGCCAAAGGAAAGATTCTTTCATAAGAGTGTGGACATTCTCGTTTGTTTTGGGTAAGTTCCTAGCAAGTCATATGGTAGATATATGTTTAACTTAAATAAATAAATAAACTGTCAAAGAATTTTCCAATGTGGTTGTACCATTTTACACCACTGCCAGTAATGCATAACAGTTCCATTTGCTCCACATCCTTGTAAAAATTATGGGCTGCTAATATTTTTTATTTTAACCATAAATCTTTCAGTGAAGGAAAATATTCTCATGGATTAGGCTTTGTAAGAGTGGTCCTATCTGAAGACTACAAAATCATATGTATCATGGAAATTAGGTAGAATGGAAATTATTGTCTAGAATACGGCAGTGAAAGAATACACCTTGTTCAAAAAGAGACCTCCAAAATAAGTAGAGTGAATAAATACTAAGGGTGAGGAAGAGGAATATATGTCTATGACAGTGTGTCAAAAAGATCTTCCCTGTATGGACATTCACACACTCAGAAATCAGAGGACAGCATCTCATGCAACTAGAGGCCTCTTGTCCCAGCAGAGGTTGCAGGTCATCTGTACTTACATTAAAAACTGGTGCAGAAGCAAGACAAAAGAGATTAGTTTTCCTGATGTTACCTAGCAGTCTTCCTCAGCTGGAAACATATCACCTGAAACATTCTTCAATGAATTTAATTTTTCAAAAGGTTGAGATGACACTAAAGATTGACAACCATTCTGCAGTTAACTCTGATCTATATAGAAAACTTTTAGGGAGGTGGAAGTGTGAGAACATTGCCATCTTTTGTTATCCCTTTCTCATACACACACACACACACACACACACACACAAACTGTAAATAAATATATATATGTGTGTATGTATCTTTATATCTACGTCTACACCTGTATCTATCTATATCCTAACAATACTCAGGAAACCAGAGTTAAACTAAATAAAGAAAGAAAGAAAAAGGGAGAGGAAGAGAGGGTGGTGGAAGCAAAGGAAGAGGAGGGAGAGAGCGAGGACGGAAGAGTGAGTCTACAAAAAAGACCATTAATAGTGATGAGGAGCTAAAGAATTAAATTCTGACAGCAAGTTCATAGATTATGTCAATAAGAAACAAAGGGCCCAGCAACTTAAAACAAACTCATCTGTAGAGACCAGACTCTGATATTGTTCTCAGGAATAAAGAAGATATGAAAGAAATATATGATGAAAATCAACGAAAACAAAAATGCCATTTATGCATGAAATGTAAAATTGCAAAAAGTGGCATTAAATCTATAAGAGTAGTGCCAGGTGGATAAAAAATCCCAAATGTATTGTTATATGATATAAATCAGTATGTCTAATATGATCCAACTAAAAAGTCTATATTTGTGTGTGGCTATTTGTGTATATTTATATAAATTATTGTATTTAAAATCCTGGGTGTGTATACAGTGGTTATCTCAAGGGGATGGGAGTGTTTATCTCAAGGGAGAGAAATACAAGACTTTTATTGTCTACATAATGTGTTTCTGTCATATTAGAATATTTAATTACTATGCTTTACTTGTGTAAATGCAGAAAGAAACAATAGCATGAAAATAGTGCCAAGGAAGCTAAACACTAGAATGAACTACAACTTGTCAAATATAAGATGGATAATATTTTTTTATTCTTATTCTGAAGAGTTCAAACTCTGAACTGTTCGAACGGTTATTCAGAGCATTGATTCCCAAACCTGGATACATAGTAGAATCACTAAGAAAGCTTGTTAAAATACAAGGAAATCCTATGGAGCACTTCCACTCTGTAACACATGGAGTCGCCATGAGTCAAAATCGACTAGACAGCAGTTGGTTTAACTCGACTCCTAGCCATTTGGTTTCATTGCATCTGAGTGGGGTACCATGGAATCTGTATTTTCAGTATCCTCCAAATGACTCATGCAGTTGATCCATGTGTTCAGAGCACACCTTATTGAGAGGGGAATTAAGAATCTTGAGTGGACCATGAGGCAGGTAGCCAAACATACCAAAGACCAGAAGCTGTCATAAAAAAAGGATAAGAGCTTATATTTTGACCTGGAAAAGATTTTGGAAAAATATTAGAGCAGTCTTCATATATTGAAGGGCTGTCATGTACATAAAGGGGTAAATCAAACCCTCTCCATTGAAATCCAGATGGCAAAAGTAGGACTTGTGATTGTTGGAGGCTAGAGAATGCTGCTTGACCCTTAATATAATGAAGAATAGACTAAACTTTAGCACTATAGCAGGAGATGATTTATGAGGTAGTGAGCTCTCTATCATTAGAATTGATCAAGCAGAGAATGGATGACCATTTCTTGAGATGGTGCAAAAAAGATTAAGTTTTGTAAAAGGATGGGAGGTTAAACCTATGCTTCTATGAATGGACTACTGCACCCTCAAAATTCCTTTGAGTTCCCTGAGAGTCTATGTTTTTAGATCAAGTATGCATAAATACAGTTCACTTTTTATTTTTGAAAATATGCTTTGACATTCTTATCTTGTTCTCAGGTATTGAAACTTCTCTTTCTTGTGCAAATCCCTACTGGAGGCTTTCATCGTTTCATGTGGTCTCCTGCTTCTACACTTCTTTACTGATGTCCTTTGCTGCCTCACTTCTAAGCCTTGTTGCTCTGTCTCTGCCAAAGAGATGCTCAAAGGGGCTTTGTCTGAAACTAGAGAGCCGTCTACACAGTAAATTATTCTTCAAAATAAAGAGGAGGAAAAAATGTAGTTCAGTTTCCCCTGTTGTCATTGACTCCTCATCTTTTGAACCTTTTGTGAAATAAAGACAATCTTGAGCAAATTCCCAGGGCTATATCTCAGCATAGGGATCCACATTCAATGCCTGTTTGGGGAGAGGAATAGGCTCTAGCTCTCTGAAATCCATTGTAACCTTGTTCACTTAACAGAAATTACAGGTTGCTGCTAGGTGCCCAAGAAATCTTTATATTCTTCACCCTATAATCTTGGAACCTGAGACGGTAATTTCCATCTCTCCCTTGGTGAATTCATTTTTACCTTAGTTGCTAAAACTTTCCAATCTGTCCCTACATGTGGTGTATCCTTCAAGAGTGGAACGTTTAGTTGCTGCTGGAAGAATCTGGTCCAGAAATAGGGAAGATTACATAAAGCATAATAATAAATTCGCAAAGCACTTTCATTTCATACCCTAGTCATCATCCCAACAAGTATTTTGTGAAGCTAATTGGCTATTGCTAATATGCTCATTATATAGAAGTGGATACTGGGCCTAGGAGTATAAACATAATTTCCCAAATTCATACTGCTAATGCCTGGAAGGGGTAGGATTTGAACCTAGACCTGTCAGCTGTTAAAACCTTTGCTCCTTCCATGATATAATCTTGCTACTTATCTAAAACAATTGATATTTTTCTATGTCAATCTCCATCTTGCCTCTCCTTCTTCACCCTCAGACTTCCTTTGAAACTACCAACTCCCTGCCTATCCAAACCTATCTGAATTCTAGGATAATCAGTCCTTC